ACACCTGTAATCCCAGCAGCTGGGGAGGCTGAGACAGGAGGATAGTGAGTGCAAAGCCAGCCTCAGCAACAGCGAGGCACTAAGCAACTCAGTGAGACTCTGTCTCTAAATAAAATACAAAATAGGGCTGGAGATGTGGCTCAGTGGTTGAGTGTCTCTGAATTCAATCCCTGATACTCCCCAAAATAAAAATCTCCCAAAACCCTCCAACCACCACCATCACTTCCTTCTCCAAACTTGGAGAGGTTGGTTGTGTCCTTATTTGGGTTACACTGTCCAGAGAACTGCTTCAACTTTGGTTTGCAGCTTTTCTGTCTTGTTTTTCTCATTGGACTGTAGTGTCTGGGGGCTGTGTCCTTGACTTGTTTCTCTGTGCCTCTCAGAACATGGCAACCAGAACAGCTCCTCCATGAATATGAGCTGATTTATTAAGATGTGCTCCCACTTGATCCACATTATCAGGAAACAACCCAACTGCATCCACTCAGCAAAGATAACATTAAAAATGACCTTATCAGCAGCTGGCATCTAAAAAATGCTCATTCCATGCCAAGTTCTGAGCACATATATTTCAAACCATTTAACACTTAGTAACTAATCTAGGAAGCAAGTGCTCTTATTATTCCCATTTTACAGATGAACAAACCAAGGCACAGAGAGCCCAGTTTTATAGCTGATCAGTGACAGAGCCAGTTCTTGAAACCCAAACTAACTGGTTCTAGAACCTGAGCACTTCACCATTACACCATGTTTAGAAATGTGTTAAAGCCCTGAGAAATGGTAAGACATACTCAAGAAACTATTCAGAGCTCTTCTCTGTGCCTGGTTTATGTGCCCAGCTTGAGTTAGTTGGAGAGCTTTCCACCACATACCAAGTAAGGACTAAGCAACTCCTTTTTCCATCTGTGACCCTACAAGATTTTTCCCAACCTGATCTAGAACCTTCCTCGCTGTCCTCCTTTCTACACTGGGCGACTCACAGTACCGTCAACACTGACCGAGTTTTTCCCTGTGGGCAACTTTACAAAATCTTCTCAGTGTGGACAGGTCCCTATACCCAGAGCCATCTGTCAAAGTGCGGCCTCTTTTCAAGATCCAGCTTAGATCTCCCCTACCCGAGAGCCCTACCCCTACTATTTCCTTCCTCCACAGTACTGTCTCTCTCCCCCTTCCCAGTAAACAACGTCCACAATAACGTCACCATTAATGACTTGCATTCAGATAATCCTCCTGACTTTGGTGAGACAGGAATGGAGTCAAAGCCCAGAAGCTGGTTGTCCCACAAAAACCACCACTACCTTGCATCCCAACTGGAATGAAGCCAGCACGCCTTAGAGAGATCCACGGGGGGCATGCAGTAGGGTCCCAGTGTTTCACCCTTGTAAATAATGCTAGAAAAATTATGAGGGTTTCTTATAAAAATAGTCCCAAATCCATTCATTTATTTAAAAAAAAAATTCATCCCACTTGGCACTTTATAATTAGTAACAAATTACGGATGACACATCTCACGGCCAGTTGGACCCACCAGAATGTGTTAATAAGGTCGAAAGCTGCCCGCTCTGACTTGAAGGTTCTGGAAGACACAGACTACGTCTCATCTATTTAAAGGTCCTAACGCTGTGTTTCACTCACGGGAGGAACTTATTAACTGTGAACACATTGACCTGAATTGCCTGAAGGCTTAGTCGGAAGCTGTTCCAGAGGAGAAGAGAGAGCATAGTGGAAAATCCAGCAGCTGGTGAACGAGCATTGGCCACGTGGGCCTCCTGGAGGCACCAAGTCCTGCAAATACACAGGGCCTGATGGGGAGGGGAGAGAAAGTCCATCCCGTTCTATAAAGAGGGTGTCTGCGAGAGAAGCCCGACAAATGTGTCATCAGCATAAACACAAAGAGAAAAGCACAGCCTTTCCAAGAGTATGTTGAGGAGGGCAAATGAAGGGGTAAGGTGGGAGAAATGAACCGCAAGAGACCGCTGGAGGAGAAGAGGCTGGTGGTTAAGTCTCTGGTTCGCCTAGTCATTAGGAGAAAACCCCAGAAAGCAGTCTGGCAGGGGTCTCCCATTGCCCTCCACTGGTGGGAGGGGCTGGGGTTGGCCCTGATTAGCCTCCTCCCTGTGGTTGTGTGGGCACAAGGAAGGGGGAATGGCTCCCCATGGGACGTGTGTGTGTTGTCGGTGATGGTCCATCTCTGGGTCTCCTTCTTCCACCAGTTGATGGAGACATCACTGGGTGGAATGCAGAGACCAAAGTGGTCCTCTGCTGCTTGGGAAGCACACTGTCAAGGATGGATGTAGCCATGTCGATTACAGTACTGCCGTTAGTATTTTCACTCTCACTGTGACCATGGGGGACTGGCCAGCAGATCCGATGATGATACAGGAAGGCTCGAGACCCCAGCTGGCTTCTCTCCAAGCTACATTAATTGGTGACTGGGGGAAAGAGAACCTTTCTGCTAATAGGCTGTCTTCCTCATGATATTTGTATTCTCCATTTGAACATGAATCTCAGAAAATGTCATCTTATGTGAAAGATTCTTATTAACTTCTTCCTACAATATCTTAAATGTCTCAGTAAATCAACAGGCTTTCCCTACCTGAGTTTAACTATCTGCGGAATTCTCAAGAGACCCAGCTTAGAAATGTTCCAGTGTGGTCCCCAAACCGGAATGTCTGTCCTTAAATAATTCAATCATTCCAGCTTTGCAAGTATTTAGTTGCTTATGTTCTTGGGGAAAATAATTAACAAGCTAATAGAAAAATACTACATGTATATTATACCTGGAAAGTCTAGAATTTCTGTTTTTAAAGATAATTTCTTTTGGCATTTATTTGTAAGTTCATATTTATCTTTGTGAGCATCAATCTTTACTACCACAATTTGGTTCCTTTTTGGTCATAAAAAATGGAATGAGTTGAAAATATTCAAAATGTCTTAGATTCACTACTAACCAGTTATTGATGGTAGGTAAGTAGATAAGGTCGAATGAAGATAATGAACTTTTCCACGTGGGATTGTTAAAGAGATCAAGAAGGGGAGATGCATGTGAATCTCTTTTGTAAGGGATGAGGTGTAGCAATGTGGACTGTAACACCCCTGTTAGTATTTGTACCCTTGCCATGATCACAGGGAACTAGCCACCTGGTCCAGAGGATCAAGAAAACTCCTCTTTTCATGGAAATGTCACAGCATGGCATTTGACTATTTAGCTTCGAATCTCAGAAATATAAATTCACTCAATCCACAAATGATGGAAAGATTTTTGTATACAGTACGTGCTATCCCTATTTTTAAGAGTATTTTCCTCTGGGTCAAAGTAGCTGAGCTTCTAGTAATTCTTTAAGGAACAAAGATGAGTTTTAACCTTCTGACATCACATGGGATGAACACTTCTTCGTTCACGGAGGATGAGCTCAAATCAGCCCCTTTCAGAAAGAGCCGGAGCATCAGACCAGGAGAGACGGCGTGAAGCGGAAAGGCTCTTGCCTTTAGAGATGATGGAGGCAGCCTACATAACCTGTCTAGTCCTACTCTCTAGTTCACTCTAGAGCCAAAAGAACATGTTCAGTGGCAATTCTGTTAGCAAAAGACAAGTGCAAACTAATGGCAGTAAATCTGCAGGGGAATGGAAGCTTCTAGAGCTAGTGTGAATCCCCGAAGTGAATCAGGCAGATGCACCAATATATGTGTCCTGGTGCACAGGATGCCTTTCATAAGGTGAGGATGGGTCTTGATGGATGGCTGAGGCAGGAGCGGGCACCGCCAGGTCTGGCTTACGTTTCCTTCTCTACCTCTTGATCCCACTGGGTAAGGTGAAGGCTCCATAACAATCACAAATAGTATTTCCCAAGCCCCATATCCACTCCCCGGGGATCTCTGATTCCCCTGATAATCCTTCCAGAAAGCTCTAGGGGTCTCCAGGTACCATCTCCCACTTCACCCCTTGCAAGTCCTCCTGACTTGTGTGAAGAAATTGTTCCTCAGCCCCCCGGCACACAAACCCACTGATGCCTGAGATATCCTTCAATCTCAGGGTAAATAGGATATCATTTGCCAAAATAGAACCTGATTGAAGTATGGCAGGGCCCCCAAGGGAGGCAGCAGAGCACAGAGTTGAATAGACCCCAAATCAGACAGTCACACCCACTTACTGTCGCATTGAGTAAGTGACTTGACCTTTCCCAGCCTTGGGCTCACACCTTGTAGGTGTGAGCTGCTTAGAACCCCAGATATTTTAAATTTCCCATATACATACATAATTTGTTTTAAGTGCTTAGCAAATCTCAACTCACTTAATGCTCACAAGCCTTTGGGGTAGGTGTTGTTCTCTAGACGAGGCCATCCAGACCAGAGAAGTCAAGTGGCTTGCTCAATGTCACAAATTGACAAGCAGCAGAGGCCAGATTCAAACCCAGGTATACGAGCTTCTGAATCTTTGTCCTTAACCATCTTAGTCAATCTTTGATCATCTAACAAGTTGGTATCTTAGAATTTTTAAAGGAAGTAGTTTTTGAACAAGGAAGTGCTTTTGAAACTTTGCTATGGTGGAAATGTCCAAACCCACAGAAGAGCATCCATCCCTTGTCCCCAGTATGCAGTTTAAACAATGATCAACGCCCCACTGTTCTAAACATGAAAGTTTTAAATTTGCATTTTTCTTCAGCTGCAATAAAAAACCATTCATGTCATTCATTTTGCTGTGGCTCTTATCATTGAGTAAATTAAGGCAATTTCCTTTAATTTCTATTAAAAAAAAAACCTAAAAATGATGGTGGATCCTTATATTGGGGGTAACATTTTTACAATACTCTCTTGTACCTTACTTCGAACACATCACTAAGATACATCATTACGTTGAATTTTTTTCAGCAGCCTGTTAATCAGGGCAGTGAGATTGCTGACATTTCTATCCTACAAGTGGCCAAATAAAGTTCAGAACACGTCAGGAGTTTGTCAAAGGTTCCGCGCCAAGTAAGTGATGGACATATCAAAATAGCAGCTGATTTTTAAGATTTTCGAGTGATTTATTCTCTGGACATCCACGTACAGTGGGAACACAGTGGGCTCTGGAATTCCGTAGACTCAGCACATTCCTCGTTCCTCCTCTTCCGCAAGTAGCCCTCTGAGCCTGGACACCTAATGGATAAAATGAGCAAATAATACTTTTATCACAGTTCTTGGAACATCTGTGTTTTAAATTATTATATCACATAAAATACAACAAGTTCATGTGTATATACAATCTATGTACACATAGAATCGACACGTGTGCTTGTGTAAGTCTGTGTAGGTGTGTACCATCTAGTACCAGCATCGTCCCAAAGCTGATGCCCACTAAGTAGGAGTTCTCGCTTCCCATTTCTACACAGAATCCACCAGAAGAAAGAGTCTACGGATTGCTCAGTATTCATCAGCTGCACTTCCAAGTCTTCCCAAACCCCCTCAGCATGAAGATATCCACCAATGGCCCCTGACTTTCATTCTTCCCCAAAAGTACTTCCTTCTTTGAAGCTCAGTTGTTCCATTAAACTGAGAACCTCCCAGATGTATCAGTTACATTCTTCACCTCTTTGGAAGAGCTGAACAAAGCTTTTGTTATTTTACCTGAGCTCTGTTTCTTCTTGGGGGGCCAAGTTGGAGATTATTTGATAGGTTTTTACAAAAAGAATGAATTTGTGCATGGTCCCTTTAAAATGCATCACGAAAATTGGCTCCTTATCCCTGAGCTTTGTCTTTTCTTACTGAAATGAGCCTATCCGTGGCTCCCTGTGGTCCCTCCATCTCCCTCTGCAGGGTTTATTAAGAATAATTGCTTTTTTTGTTGTTGTTCAAGGCTGTTCGACTTCAGCAGTGAAGACACAATTTGTCCTTTGTGACCAGATGTGAGAGCTAATCCATGTTTGGGCCAACACGTATTTGCAACTTAACTCACCTAAACCATAAAGCAAGCGACTTTTAAAGAAGAAACTCAAGAAAGGCAGCCCTTGGCCCTGGTTCCGCTACAGAAAACGGTGCAGAGTGCCTGGTGCAGAGCTAACACTGAGTGTGTTTTTGTTGACTGACTGAATAAATGAGATCCTCCAAGCATCTTAGCCTAAAGCACACGATCTAGAACTTCCTGGAGATCTGTCTGATGATTCTTCCCCACACCCATCTGAAGGAATTGCAATAGAGCTAACCGTTTACTCTTCAAGTAGTAACATTTTTGAGAGCTGATTTTAATGAATAGCGATAATAGGAAATGAATATATTGATCATCTCATGCACACCTCGATGTTTCAATGTTAAGAAACATTTACTGTTTGAGTTTTAAATATCTTCCTTGTGTGCAGTCTCATTTCTTTTATAAAATGAAAAAAAAAATGTGAAGATATCAGGTGTTCTCCACCTTAAAAAATCATAAATTCTGAATTAGTGAATTCAGGGAAGTTGAACTGTGTCTAGTCTTAATACTTTATGTTTAAGTTGGGATATTTCTACACCGAGATACGAAGAACAAGCGATTATCACTTTCTACTAGTACCAGCCCCTTAGGCAGGGCCGCCCCTTGTGGAATGGACCCTTGAACTCACATAGACCCATCCCTTTTTGCTCCTCTACTTCAGCCTTAAGCCTTCACCCACGAGGCCTTCTTTTGTGTCCTGTAGAACGTGGTCCCCTAGCACCGTTCAACTCTTTCCTCCCTAAAGAAGACTACCGTCCTAGAAGGTTCCATTCAGTCTCTGCTGATGGAAGGACCCTGGGAAGAGAAACAAATATAGTAAGACATGGTTCACAAGGGCCATGGCTCATAGCACCAGGGTGAACTGGAATGGGGGGATCCGGTGGCCTCCACATCTGACCTAGTGAATTTGGAATCAAGAAACTAAAATTCTAGGTCCAGTTCTATCGTGAACTGTGAGGTCTTCCTCCTCAGTCTTTAAAAAAATCACTCAAAACTCAGTGCTTTAGATGACCCCAAATAACATCCAGTCTGACTCAGAGGGAATCGGCACTTTCTAGAGCAGTAGGCTTAGATTTCTTCCAAGGAACTCTGTTTGCATAGTCTGTTGCAGATCATTTTTTAAAAATGGAAATAAAATAAGATGAACCGGCACTGGCCTCATTATTATTTCACTGCTTGGAGCCTCTGTGCCCAGCATCCAAGGGACATGTCTTGACTTTGGTCCTCTCGGAAACAATGAAATTCTTGATGGGAAGGCTCAAAGCAATTTCTTCCATCTCTAGTGTTTTCATTCTTTTGATGGATTAACATCAGTTGCTATTAGTAACTGCAGGAAGCCAAAGCCAATCCCAAGTTAACACCGCGAGACTCTCCCTCGCTCTGCTACTGGAAAACAAAACTTCAAAAACAAGCCATCCGGTAAATTTGCAAAGTGGAGGATAATAGTGGGTTCTGATGGTCGCAGTCAGCCTTCTGGAAATTCACAGAGCACTTGGTCTGCGGCACCGGAAACTCACTCCAGCTAGTTGACAGAATGGGAAATAGTGGTAGAGTGACAGGGCTTTTGCTTGGAGCACGTTAAACACAACGCCACCCACAGGAGGGGCTGGAACTGCAAGCTGAGGTGCCACCAGGAGCTCAGGCAACTCCTCTCTCTGCTCCTCTCTGGGACCACACCTCTCCTGCTGGCTACACGCCGGCCATGTCAGCCCCAGGGGCTGATCAGCTCCACTCGTCCACATGCATGGCCCAGTCTAGATGGTCTCTAAGATCCACCCCCTGCACCTTGGCTGATTGCTTCAGTTCTTATGACTCAATTCACCATTTCTACATGGGCCCAGCTTAGGCGCGGGACCCAGCCAAGGTATCTAACCAGCCAGGACCAGTATTAGGGTCACGTGGGACTTAAAATGAGATTCCAAGTCATTTATTCTTCAATCTGAGGTGCTTTTGAAAATAAAGACCAGTGGGATGAATAATAACAACCAGAACAAGGATACAGCGCGACCACAGCTCAGGAACACTAGGATGTTTGGTGTCCCGAAAATTGGAAAGACATTTCTCTCTTTTTTTTTTTTTTTTTTTGAAGGAGAAGTGGAAAAGGAGAGGACAAAAAAGAATCAAGGACATTTTTGATACCCGCAGCCAGGCTCTCCACCTCCACACACCCCCACCCCACAACCCTGAAAATATACAAAGTATGATTGTTCCCTAAGCACCTTAGGGGAATGGGCTTTTCCTCCCTGAGGAAACCCTACCCAGGTCACTGCTGAGACTTAGGAAGACTTTGTAAGTGCCGAAAAGCCTCGGAATTCTTGGAAGGATTTTCTGTTAGACTGAGATTACCCATCTGACTGGGCTCCCTACCAACAGCCAAAATGACCAGATTCAACTGTAGCCTTTGTGCACATGCCTAGTTCCCATGATGATCATTTGAATTCCACGTACAGCAAACACACAAATAGGCCTACTTCAGCGTATTCTAAGAGTGTCGTCTACTACACACAAGTCGTATCTGCTCACTCTAGAGAAATTAGAAAGTACAGTTAGGCAAAGGAAGGTACAAATAACCCATCATCTAGCTCATTCTGTAGCCCATTTTATATGCATGAGTACAGATATTTTTAACTGAAGTTAGATTGCATTTATCATTTTGTGACTTTTTTTTTTTAACTCAGTAGCATGAGCATCTTTTAATGTATCCTTTCAAACTGAAGAAAAGGAGAATCTGATCCAGGAATATTTGCCAATATTTATTGTGTCTTTCCATGTTCTTTTGCTGTGATCATTTATTTAACCTTCACAAAAAGACTCATGAGGTGGGAACCATTGGGATCTTTCTTCTGTAGAGGAAGAAATGAAGCACAGAGAGGTTAAGCAACTTGCCCGGAGTCACAGAGGTAAAAAGGGTTAGCCCCACGCCAGTCACAGAGCACCCTCGTCACCACTGCGCTGTGGGCTCTCAGTTCTCGAGCCTGTTCTCTGGGCTCCAGTCTTTCTTCTCATTTTGCTTTTGGAGGCAGGGAAAGAGCCAGGGAAACGCAGAAAGGAGAAAGCAAGAGACAGTAGGAAGTGCAGGGTGTAGAGCGAGGTGAGGGAACAACGTAGAGAAAAGAGAAAGGAGAAGAAAAGAGAAATTAACATAATTTGGAAGTAAACTATCAGCTTGAACCCTCATGAAACTGCCATTATTGTACGACAGACACAGTTGATCACAGACGATTCCGTGGAGCTCAATTTATTAAACTCCATCACCAAATGAAATGCGCTTCACTGTCGAGTAGTCATTAAGGGAAAATATATCGACATGTAATTAACGTTGGGACTCAGCTTGAAATATTAATTAAGAAATCAAAATGCTGAATGTCTAAAGCCCCTCCAGGGCCCCACCCTGTTGTTATTTATGTAGGAAGTGAGTGGCAAGCCCCAGGATCTACATTTAACAAACGCTCCTGGTGATCTGATGCACACCCAAGTTTAAGAACCACCGACTAAGGAAGGCAGAAGACTGCAAGTGAGAGAACTGGACATTGTGGCTCCCCAGGTGATTATCTTGCTTCTACAAGCAGGCTTTGTCCTTCTTTTTATGCACTATATCTGTGTTTGGGCTGACAAGTCACCAAATAAGTAGCATGCTGGTCTGTGGAGACGATGGTGGGTTTACCCATGTAGGGGGTATTTCTAACCGTGGAATACAACCAAGAGCTCAGCTGAGCTGGGTGCGGTGGAGCACGCCTGAAATCCCAGCAGCTCGAGAGGCTGAGACAGGAGGATTTCAAGTTCAAAGCCAGCCTCAGCAACAGCAAGGTGCTAAGCAACTCAGTGAGACCCTGTCTCTAAGTAAAATGCAAAATAGGGCTGGGGATGTGGCTCAGTGGTCAGGTGCCCCTGAGTTCAATCCCCTACCACCACCAAAAAAAAAAAAAAAAAGAGCTCAGTTGAGTTTATCTGAAAAAGTATAAGCTCACCAGAGTGTCTTGGTAGGATTTTGTTAGACAGATAGTCACTCGGTTATTCAGTTACTAAGTTCTTACTATGTGCTCAGCATTATGGTGATAGGTATGAAACACTGAGATACTGATATATTCCTTCCAAGGCTTGTATGTTGGCACAAAGCAGCACTTTAACCATAGCACATCATTTAACCATTTTGTTACTTGTTCAGTGGATTTATGATTACAATTATTAGAGA